GTTTTTTGATTAAATACAAAATAAAGAAAACCTTATATATTACAAACATACACTACGTATAGCAATAAATACCCGGGGGCCAGGCCCAGCGCCGCCCCTCCTGGACAATAATTTAGCAATAAATACTGCACAGGCCAAAGCAGGACCCCAAGGCCAAGCCCTTGCTTTCCTTCCTCCCTGCCCTAGCCTGGGCACCGATAGGACCTGCTTCCAAGCCCCCGCAGCTCCCGGGAGAAGCCTTGGGACTCGGGCTGGGGTCATCGAGGGTAGCCCTGGCGGTTTGGCCCACACCCCAAGGGTGGCCTGGGTCGCCAAGCTGCTCTGCTCCAGGGGGAAGAATGCGCCCTGCCTGGCAGGTGCACACACTCAGGACCAGTCGCCCCACTCGTGGGCACGCCCTGGCCGGCCTGGAATGTTACATTATTCTATACAGGGGTGTCCACCAGAGGTCCTGGAACTAAGTCTCACATTGAGAAAGCACTATGCACTTCCTGCTGGGTCTGTTTCTCTAAGAACTATGACAAACACAACATACTGTTACTTCTCACTTTTCCTACATATATTTGATATTAAAAACTAAACAGTAAGTACATGATAGCATATTTGAAATTTTTACATTCAGAAGCCAGAACCAAAATACATTTAGGGTTAAAAAAATTAATCATTTAAATTTTTTTAATTTAAGGGACAGAATCACGATGGGTCAGGTCATGAAATGAATGCTGTGCAAGTACTATTCCACAGCAAAAACCAAAACCAAAAGCAGCATTCTTTGAACAGGTCACTGATAAAGGCTAAGAGCCAACCCGAAATACCTCGCTGGTTCAACGGTTGCCCAGAACTGGCCTCGCTGGCCTCCCCAGGGCTGCAGTTCAATTCTAATTGTATGAGCAAACCAACAAATTGAGCTCAAGAGGCAGTCAAAAAAAAGTGTACCTAGCTGACAATATCAGAGGTTGCAGGAAAATGCTTTTGAAATACAAGTAATGCAAGAAAAAAACAAGTGAAGTGAAGGAGAGGTTTCAAAGCCTGAAAGACAGTCATCAATACTGACAGATTACTGTAATTCTGGCTGCCAGCAAGATCGATTTGAGCAGCATATGACAATCAATATTGTCCTCATTTAGTGAACAACATTAGACTTATAGTTACAGAAGATGTTCCTAGGATAAAATTTAAACTGTATTTAATGATCATAAATAGCACAATTTATGCTGTGGAATCTTGGTGGGTACTTTGAGCATAAAATAACTCACAAAATCATACAATTATCCAAATACAATTGAGTTTATTACATTTTTAACCCCTTGCTCTTGAGGATTAAATTAACAACTCTGGTGGTTTAAAAAAGCTTACTTCTACCTTAATTTCTGTTAAGTTTACTGATATGTTCTAGAAGGCATGCTTTTCCTGTAATGAAAACTTGATTTGCTAAAAACATTCATTTATAATTTCATGTATATTTTGAGATTATATAAAATTAAGATAGATGTTACATTTATATTTGTATCTTAAAATACAAAAGTATTTTATCACATAAACTCTAAATTTGGACACCAAGCAATCTAGCTATATATAAAGTAATTTTCTCTCAATAATGTGGCAGTTGGTTATACATTTTTCAAATCAGGAGAGAAAGGCCAGGGATATCTGTTATGTAGCACCTCACTTTGGGGGTACAGTCAGGGACTGACTGGTCCCAGGAACTCGCACAGGTGCCAGAAGACTACAGATGTTCAAGTCCTTTATGTATACTGATACAGTGTTTGCATATAACCTAGGTACATATTTCTAATCCTTGCTAATTAGCTATAATACCTAAAATAGATATATGTGAACAGTAAACTGTATTGCTTAGGGAATTATGACAAGAAATAAGAACATACATGCAAGTATGATCATTTTCTCTTGAACATTTTCAGTCTACGGTTATTTCAATCTGTGAATGCAAAACCTGCACATATAAAGAACTAATCATATTTAAAGCATGAAGAAACAATTGCAGTTTCTAAATTCAAGTGCCAAAGTTAAAAAAAATTTGCTTGATCAATCTGATTGTTTTTACTCTTAGTTTTCCAGAATCAATTTTGCAGGTAGATACTATTCAGATTTGTTATTTGTAAAGTGTGCATGCTTATTATTTTCACCTCAAATTATGTTTAACCTAGGATACTCTCAATGTAGTTTATGTCTCGACACAACTTATAAAAATATCAAGTCTGATTACTGAACCCAATCAATTAACCTCTACTTACTAAGCATGTAACTAGAGTTCAGAAAGTTTGTCAAAACAAAAATTAAAATGTAAGTTTATTTTAGTGCAAGAACCTTTAAAAAAAATCTGTGCACAACAGGGCGTCTCCAAAAAAGTCCATTGAAAGTTCACATTATGAAAACCTATAAAAGCATTAAAAATACTTTGCACAGAAATAAACATTTTAATTCCATTTTCCACGATCTGCTGGAAGTAGCCTTGTGAAAACCCAACTAAGCAATTTCCTGAGGTCGGGTGCAATTGTTTTATGCTGTTTGTAATATTTATATGTAACAGAAATAATCATTATACAATAAAAACTTATTTATTAAGCACATCGAGATTTTTTTTAGAATAGTAAATTTAAGGGCATCTAATTTCACTGTCTATTTAATCTTTACAACAATTCTGAGATGGATATTACATCTATAGTCACAGGTAAAGAGACAAAGCTCAAGTTAATAACCAATGTATTCTCACTGTATACTTTTAGTATATTAAACATGTGAAATAGAAGAACATGAAATTGGTTATAGAAGAAACAATACCTCCAACACTGATTTTCTGTTAACTATTTGTTGAGGTATTTACATTAGACTTGATTTTTACCTCAAATCAGAAAGTTTATATTTACCCAAAAAATTGGTATGAGGCAAAAGAGGATTCTGCATTAGCATCTAATTTCAACTACCTACCACATTTCAAAAAGACTTAAGGTGTATTTTTCCACCGACAACTGCCAACTCTTCCATACCCTCCTCCTTGTTCCACTTTCAACTATGCCTTAACTGAAATGGTGGAGGCCACTGAGTCTCGGGATGAAGATGATGAGGCCAACTATGGAAACGGGCACAGTCCAGGAAGTGCACACCCTCAGTGAGGCTGCCAGTGGGGATAAAGTGATTTCATTGCTAATAATCCACATATCCCAGATATTATACATCTTTCTAGAGGTATTCAAGAGATATTAAACTGTAAAGTGTACTCCAAGAAACAGATTAAAATTTTAAAAATTTAATGAATATATGAGATGAAAATAAGATTTAAAATTTAGAAAAAGTGAATTAGGAAAAGGAGAACTTGCCCAGAGCTATCTCGCCTTGTTCCAAGGGGAAGGGTCTGCCACTGGGAGTGAGGCTGGGCTCCTTAGAGGGCACATGTGCTGAACCATGAGCACAGTATCCTGAGTCAGCCTCCATCAGCTGATGCCTATGGGAGTGAAGTGACTTCATCAGGGTCTCATCATTAAAGCAATCGTGCCCTGATTTCTTGGGGAGCTCAATGGGGTTCACAGAAATTCAGAAGGGTCTTTTTGAATAGTTCCTGGTTACTGCTTCAAAACAGTCTTAAATTTGTTTCATTGTGGGCTGGTGCAATGGCTCAACTGACTAAGCCTCTGCCTTCAAGTGCCTGTATCCCATATGGGTGCTGGTTAGCTTCCTGCTGTTCCACTTCCTATCCAGCTCCCTGCTTATAGCTTGGAAAAGCAGTAGAGGATGGCTCAAAGCCATGGGACCCTGCACCTACTGGGGAGACCTGTAAGAAATTCTTGGCTCCTGGCTTCAGATTAGCTCAGCTTTTGGCTGCTGTGGCCATTTGGGGAATGAATCAAAGGACAGAAGATCTTTCTCTCCTCTCTGTAAATGTGCCTTTTCAATGAAAATAAATAAACTTTTAAAAAAAGATTTATGTATTTTTATTGGAAAGGCAGATATACAGAGAGAAGGAGAGATAGAGAGAAAGATCTTCTGTTTGATGGTTCACTCCCCAAGCGGCTGCAATGGCTGGTGCTGTGCGATCTGAATCCAGGAGCCAGGAACCTCCTCCAGGTCTCCCATGTGGGGCAGGGTCCCAAGGCTTTGGGCCATCGTCTACTGCCATTCCAGGCCACAAGCAGGAAGGTGGATGGGAAGCAGGGCTGCCTGGATTAGAACCGGCGCCCATATCCTGGCGTGTGCAAGGTGAGGACTTTATCCACTATGCTATCGCGCCATGCCTGAAAATAAATAAACCCTAAAACCAAAAACCAACAACAGTCTACTCAGGTGAGTGACTTAGAAAATAATCTCACAATAAAGTCATGTATATTTCCTGGGACCTCATGAGCCAGATGTGATCATCATTCTCCTTTTGCAGATGAAGAAGTAGAAGCTCTGGTTAAACTGTGTGCTCAAGACTACACAAGCTAAGGAAGGTGAGGCAAGGCCCTCAGGCTCCAGAAGCTACAAGCTTAAGCTTCCCAGGCCCTCTCATGCCTTCTCGTCTCTGTTAATATTTTCTCTGTTGGAAAAACTCTTAACCTTATCCAAATGGTAAAATATTATTAGTTTAAGATTGGTTGGGTCCTCACATTTCTCAGACATATTTCTGGACGCCAGCATCCCTTTCTGCTATGTGCAAGGTCATCCACTACTCTACTCCTGGAATATGATCATGTACCACTCTTGCAGCACATATCGAAAAAGAGTTTTCTCAACTAAATTATTTGCAATGACTGGTTATTTCCATAACTTCAGAGTAGTACAGTGATTGGTACATAGTGGGATTCTAATTAAGAAATTGGTGTTGATGAAAAGTACACCTAAGAGAAGACACATCAATCAAATGCCGTAACTAGTCAAACACTGGTGAGGAATTCCACCATTTGTGCATCTTGACAGACACCCAAAGATCATAATAACAAAGAAACACTTACCTTGGAAGCAGGCATTCATTAGAGTAAAACCCAATGTTTTAAAAAGGATACAAGTTCTGATACAACGGGATCAGTGACTTCAGAGCTCGGCTTGCATTTATGGCTGTTGCTCGAACCATAATGGGTAAAACCTTCCCATTCACAATAGCACCATCAAAAAGTGGACCAAAGAAGGGAACCTGATTGAGAAATTAGAATTTAAATTTATATTCAAATTGGGCCATTTAGTTGCAGACAATAGCAGTAAATGCCAAAGGTCCATAGGGATCCATTCTTGAGAACTATGTTTTCTGTAACTGGCTATGTGATTTTTATATACCCTGCCAATTTTCAACATTTTGTAGTTTAAATAATATAAAAGAATGGAAGTAAATTCCCTTTCTTCCATTAGGCAAGTTGCTTTTTTATTATTTTTGGGTGATACTAATTCTACTATAAGACCTAAAACAATAGTGTTTTATTAGAAAAAGATATTACAGTTATTGTTCTTTCTGTCAGAAAACTGACAATTTCAAAAGCTGTTCTGTTTGAGTATGGCCAGCAGGTGGGCAGTTGTAGGAACTGTGGGCAACTGAGTTGATATTTTAGGTTTTGTGATCTTACATTGTCTCTGTTGAGCATTTAGATTTTTAAATAAGAAGAATCCTTTGAAAATTTAAAACACTTTCTTAGATTGTGGAATGTAGAAATTCAGGCTGTGGCTCATACTTTGATGATCTCTGATTTAGATAAAAAGACAAAGGAACATACTAACATATTACAAACCTTAATTATCTTGAAGTAAAATGTTTCTGCTCTAATGTGCTTCAACCCAGTGTTATACATAAAGATGCTCAACAGTAAAAAAAGGTAACAAAAATGAATTGGGTTAAAAAAATCATAACATTTTCATTTATCAACAAAACTAAATCATATAATAATTGCAAGGTTCATCAATAAAAATTTTAGTAATCATTTTTTTGTTCCAAAGGGAAAGATTACTTCTTACTTTTTAAAAAATTGTTTAAGACATTATAGCAATTCTGTTAACAAGAGGTATGTCTTTCTATGACCTTAGCACAAAGGAATTCTTACTCTGGCATAACTAACTATCCATTTGAATCCAGTTTCTTGCTATTTGCCCTGTGTTGGCTTCTTTTGAATGAAGCTTAGACAACCCATAGAGCTAGCAATGTGTTGTATTTCCAACCCATCCTTCCCACAGTCAATTTCACAACTTGATGGCTTAGTCCAATTTCTCTTCTATAAGATAGGAAGAAACTCATGAGCCCATGTGGAAGTCACAATCTACCACTGAAATGGAAGACATGGAGTTCTTACCTCTGGTTTTTTCATGATCTGGATACTGAACATGTGATTTTTCATTGGATATATTACAATAAGGACATCACCAAACTCTGTAGGAATGATTCCTCGTCTGTAGTCTCTAGTATGCTCTGACCAAACAATGTGTACTTCGTCATTTCCTAAATGTCTCAACTGGAAAACCAAGAAAATCACATGTAGTGCTTAGGAACAACTCTATAAAATACAGTCCCACAGTCAGTGACAACATAGTATAAAAAGGCAAAAAGGTAAGGCAACTTTTAAAGCATTTCACTTCATCATGTTCACATGTGACCCACACACTTGATAGAACAGTTTATTACACTTTTCCATAGTCAATATGGAACAACATTTAGATGCAGAAAACATTCACCATACCGGCCCATGATAGATAGATATTTAACCCTGGCAAATCCCCATCACTACACTCCTCCACCATTATACCAATCCCTTCAAAAATTCTGATTATATCACCGACTGAACCATTTGATTAAGAAACCACCCATTTATATTAATTTATTAACCTCAGCACAGTCAGGCAGTGGTACATGAGAGGATTTAAATAGGCCAGTAGAATTCCACTCTGAGAGCGGAATCAAAGAATCTAATCCCAAATAATCATCTCCTCACTCTCAAGAAAGAGGCCCAGTTTAGCAGAAATAATCAAATACATTACCCCCTACGGTTACCTATATCCTAAAACACGAACAAACTTAAAACATACTCATCCCAACCCCAACAGCCCCTCCATAAAATGAAATCGAACCACATCAGCATAGCAACAGATCAATATTAACGATGTACCCTAATACAGACTACCTCTCCTACGTCAAATCTCGCACGCTAGCAGCACCGTCTCCCCCCCTCTATTGTCCACCCTCGGGGGTACATCTCCCTAGTCCAGCATCAGCAGATCCCATATAAAGACGCACCCTGCGTGCACCATTTACTCCACTCCATGCTCCCTGCCTCTGCGCCTAGGGAAGACGCCGAGGAAGGCCCAAAGTCGTGGACCCTGTACTCCACAGCCTGGGGAACCCGAATAAGCACGCTGGGCACCATAGAGTGGCTACATTTGTCATCAGCTCAAGCCATATGTGGCCCACAGGGATAGACCCCATCTCAGATACAGAATACCTGTCTCATACCTCACACCAGAAAAATAGACGAGACCACTAAAAAACAATCGATCAAATCACCCCCACCCACACAGCTACTCGTGAGAGAGACAATCAGTCATCTCAGAGAGAGATTAGGGAACTAACATAAGAAAAAATCAACTTAATGTCCATCAGTCTTAAGTTATAGTCACAAATTTTATTAACAAATTTTATCCTTATATTAAATTTATTGATTCTATCACTGTCAATCTTTGAGTCTACTTGGGTGAGTATCTCCCAAGGGCTTTCCATTATGTTCAGGTAATTTTAACCAATGTAGATGACCAAGTTTAGAAGTGAAAAGCAGTGATGTGTGCCATCCATATTTATACAGTGATCAAATACACAGGTGATATGTATTTGTGAAATATGCCTTTTATTGTGGCTTACAGATCAAAGGGTAGGAAGAAGACTTTATGTATGTTTTAAACAAAGGAGTTAAATTCTGTCACCTCTTAACCCAAAGCAACTGTTCATACCTGTCTATATGTAAACACCCACAAACGCTCATTTACACACACAACTGCACTCACGGGAGACCTGGGCTTTGTGACATTTTGAAAAAGCAGAAAAGATTATACAACTCAGAAAAGCCATGGCTCTATAATTTCATTTTTTAATCAAAATACTTTAAAAATATCCTTCCTATACAGCCATCCCCATGTGTCAGCTTCCCTAATAGGTTTATGTTAACTGAATACAAAAGAAATGTGAAATAAATTTAACCAGGAGGGATGATCCAATCTAATTTTGATACATTAATGTCATATGCTGTACATGTTACAATAGCAGCCAGATCTAATACTAAGCTCCAGGCTATACTGAGATTTCCAAATGGCAGATTGTTCTAAGTGATATCAAGCATAATTGAAGTCATAAACGATAGTAAAAGCTGAGCGCACTGTCAGAAAGAATTTAAGTATTTACTTTTTAGAATTAAATGAGTTAGGTTAGGAAAGACAAGACAACTGAAATAATGCAGGTCTCAATTTACAGAAAATTCCTTTTATTTATCTGCTACATTAACCCTTGAACTCTTGCCAAAACTATCTATAATTTCTAGTGTCCACTTATCTGAAGAACTGAGAGAAAAGGGCAACTTTACTTTTTATCTCGTAGCCAAAGCTTGACTTCAAGTATCTTCCATACAGGATTAAAAGTCTGTTAGAGAAGTTTAATGGAAAAGAACATCGCATTTTTGTCAAGATGCTGTAATGATTTTTGGCCCAGAATGTGTCTAACAAAGTCATCCTAAACATGTTCAAACATTTTAAGGGAAAAGCTTCGTGAAAAACCCTTATCATCTCTATTGAAATGCTAACCAAGTAATTATATTAGGCTGTCATGATGAGGCATGTCTTTATATCTCACAAACCTGCCGTATAATTATTAGACATAAATTGAGAAACTGCTAATCGCTGTTACGTGCCTTGGGAATTTTTGAAAGAATACTAGAAGAACACATTTTTAGTATGAGTTGGTAGTAAGTTGTAAGCATAAATACTTTATGTATTCATGTAATACTTGCTGGACATAAATATTTTTCACACTAATTTTATTCCTTATGTCTTATGAATGTAGAAGATGATCATTATTTATTTATGGAGATGAGTAAAACTGAGGTCCCTAATATGTGATAAAATGTTATACTAGTTGAGACCTTAATTTTATAATTTCCTCCCCAAGAGAAAAACCCACTGTACTTATCATGCCTCTGCTGGAATACTCCTAGGCCTGTGACATTTATTAACCCACAGATCAGCCCATTTCGATTTTTATTTTAAATTAATGAAAAAATTTATTTTTCTAGGTAGAGGGGGAGAAGAGGAGAGGGAGAGACAGATACAGAGACAGCTCTTACTGCCAGTTCACTCCTTGGATGCTTGGCACTGCTGCCTAGTGTCCTGCCAGTGGCAGGAACCTGAGGGCTATGGCCGTCACCACTGCCACCAAGGATCTGAATGAGCTGGAACCAGAAGGAGCAGCCAGGGGCTAAGCCCAGGGACTCTGATGGGGGTGAGATGTGGGAATCCTAACCTGTATTTTAATTTAAGTTCAAATGCCTACTCCTTTATCTCATTTCTAAAGATCCATATACAACCATCAGGTCACTATACGATAAACATGGGTTGTTCTTCCATTTCTTCATGTTCTCTTCAATTTCATGCATTACTGTTTTGTAGTTTTTAATGTAGAAAGTGGTGACCTTTGTGTTTAGGTTCATCCCAAGGTCTTTTATTTTATAATTATTAGAAATGGGAATTTTAAGCCTGGTGCAATGGCTTAACTGGTTAAGCCTCCTCCAAGCGCCAGGATCCTAAACAGGTGTTGCTTTGTGTTCTGGCTGATCCATTTCTTATCCAGCTCCCTGCTTGTGACCTGGGAGAACAGCAGAATATGGCCCAATCAATGCCTTGGAACCCTGTATCCACATGGGAGACCTGGAAGCCTTGCTCAGCTCTGGCTGTTGCAGCCATTCGGGGAGTGAACCAGTGGACGAAAGATCTTTCTGTCTCTCTTCTCTCTATAAAATGTGACTTTTAAAATTTCCTTTTCACCAATTGCTAATTGCTGGTAATCTATTGTTTTTGGTGTGTAAAAATACTACTGATGATCATATGGTGACTTTGTGTCTGCAACTTTGCTGACTTTGTGTTCACAATTCTGCTAGAGTCCCCTGGATTTTCACATCATCTGCACGTGGAGGCATCAACTGACAAGGGGAGGAAAAAAGGTGGCACATACACACAGTGGGACCATTCAGCTGCAGAAGAGTGCAATCTTGTCATTTTCAACAACATGACCGGTTACAATTAGTAAATCAAGCACAGGAAGAGAGGCACTATTGATTGCATTCATATGTAGGATTTTCAAAAAGTTGACTTCTAACAGTAAATTTCGTAATGACTAGAGGGCGGTGAAAGTAGGCAAAGAAGGGATGAGAAAACACTGTTTAATGGATATTGAGCTTTAAATTGGACTCAGAAGTTCTTGTGCTATATTGCATAGTAGGATGACCCTAAGTAATGATAGTGTACTGCATGTTTCTCTAAAAAAATACTAAAAGAAAAAGGTTTGAACATTTTCATCATAAAGCAATGTACAAAGGTTGATGAGATCCATATGTTTAGCCTACTGGGACACTGCACAATATATACATACATTGACACACCACCTGGCACTCCAAAAATACATTTAATTTTACATGTTAGTTAAAAATAAAAGTTAAAAAATCTTACATTAATCTGATGCAAGGAAAGTGTCCTTACTGTTACGCCTATAATTACAGATGAGGAATTGAAGCTTAGAAGTATGAAGTAATTTGCTTAAGACCACTCAGTTGGAAAGTGGTACAGCCACAGGTTGGTTCCAGAACCCATAATTTATCCACTCTCCTATACTGTCCTTTTATAAAAAAAATTATGTGCTCAGAAGATTATTATGCAATCTGTCATGAAGGCACATACTGAACTATTAAGATGACTTTTCTTCAACTTGTCTAGAACAAATGACTTAGTTAAATGCTTTATATGGTCTGTGGGCCTCCCTGATCTAGTAATCCTATTAAAACAAATTAGGTTATTTTGATGTGATTTGTTATGGTAAACTCATGGCAGTGCCTAGTAATCACTATTTCATTATCTTAAGTGTTCACAAACCATCTGTTTAATAATCCTGTTCGCCAGCCCTGACATGGAGCTCATGAAGCTTGGCCCTTTCTATGGTTTGGCCTCTTGTGATCTGTGAAAATGTCTGTTCACTGCTATGGAGAATGCATATGGAGAATCCTAACATTTTCATGTAGAAATCCTAACCCCCCACTGTGATGGCATTAGAGATGGGGGAACTATGGGAGTTAATTAAATCGGGAGGGCTCTTTTCTAAGGGCTGAGACCTTGGAGAGTTCACGTGCCCTTTTCAGCATTGAGGTGGTGGCTGGAAGACAGTTACTTGGGAACTAGGAAGTGGTTCCTCACTAGACACTGGATCTTG